TTTTCGTCTCCATTGCTATGATTAAGCAAAACAAAGAACACTACGCTTATTCACGATAAAGAATTGGACTCCTGATAAAGCTACAATCTGTCGAATATTGTAAGCCAATTTGCCTACAGTACCTATAGCGATTTAGATTGACCAACCCTTTTAAAGTAATATGAAATATACTTTTGTTATACTTTTATATTATTTAAAAATCAATAAAATAATTTGAAACAGATAAATATATGATAAACTTGCGCTGCCTGGAAAAATTTAAAAACTATCTGGATAATGAATTTCGAATAGTCCGGTTAAGTGATGCTCTTTTGTATTAGCATGTACATTCCTAAAATTTGGAGTGCAGCATATTTATTTTTATTTTTTATTTTTATATTAGAACAGCATAATTTAATCCTCAAACGCCAGGAAATCTATACTAGAAAAGGAATTTATACAAATATATGTCATGAGCATTTTCCACAGACTCCGCCATCGTATGCGAAAATTTCAGTAAGCATAATTTAATTTAATAGATAAAAATCATGAGTTGGATTAAGTTTTGTATATTTTTTTACAGTGTGTAATATTAATAATATACATATTAGAAAATTTTATAATGTTTTGTAACGTAAAATTCTATACAAGTATTATACAAATATTTATAAATTCTTATTGATAGGAGAAATCAGGAAAACGATGTTACAACTTTTGGCCATGTAAGTAGCTTTTTACAAAAGAAACCTCTGCTAGAACTTCAATTATTGAGCACCTTGAATTGGATTCACTGCAGATTAAATTGTACGTCTTCCTTCAAATGCACAGTCATTCAGAAATATACGCTTTGACAGATGGTAACAAATACACTTTAACATATGGTATTTGCACATTCGAGCCGAAGTTGAAATGAATTACATTTACAGTTACGTAGTATGATGTTTACTCAGTATATGTCGATATTTTTGAATTTTATAGTAAAATTATATAATGTAGAATTCTGAGAACTTTAAATAAAACTATAGTCTCTTGCATATATTTTTATGAAATACTTCTATTCACTTCTTTACTTCAATATTTCACTATACACATCTTTTATTAACCTTTTTCTTATGAATAGGTGATATAGAAGAAATTTCAGTTATTTCCTAAAATTCCGTCAACTCTATTCACATAGGAATTTTCCTTTTGTAATCCTACGTGTCATGTTAAGATATTCCCCGCATATTTTTCGCGTCAGTTAACGAGATAGCTGCTACACGTTTCTTTCCTTGAACAGGTGTTAGTAAAATTTCACGTTGAAAATGTTTTATACACAACAGAGTTTATTTTTGTGTCAGTTTTTCTTTTCTATACAGACACTGAATTATGTGAGAAACATTTGGTACAGATTGAAGTGGATTATAGAAAAACGCACATCTTTGAGGATGAAAATGCGCGATACATGTCTTCCTGGAGAGTTTTCTAAGGGTTATTAGCCCTATTTACATCCCACTTTGATTCTTTCCAGCATTAATGGGGCTGCTGGTCCACATTACAATGAAAATCTACGAAATCCATCAGGCGAGTACTGAAAAAGAAGTATAAGAATTCGTGGCTTTAATTAATTGTTTCAGAAAAATAAGCATTCGTGGCTTCTGTTAATTGGTTCACTAAACATCCAACACTATTTATATATATAAAGAAAGTATGTTTGTTTGTCCTCTAATAGCTCAATCACTACTACAGCTATCGTCGCCAAACTTTCCACAATTTTTTTCTCAGTCCTGGAAAGGTCGGCATTGACTTTTTTTTTTTGCTCTGATTTTACTTAAAAACTCGGAAAAACGATAATTTTCGCCCTCATTTTCCGAGTGGCAACAGTCTTGCAAACAGGGAATGAAAATCTGCTTTATTTTGAGAAGCTTTGCCATTGCTCGCTTTCAAATGGTAGAGTTTGTTAATAAAAACATTTCTAAGTTTTACGATGAAATAAAAATATCATTGCCAAACATTAGATACATTATTCCTCATTCCAAAAATTTGCGGGAAGCTATTGCAACTGTTCCCATTTTTCTACGACTTTAATCAGCCGAGATATTAATAAAAAACTCAGAAAACACTAAATTTTCGCACTCATTTATCCGAATGGCAACAATCTCGCACGTTGGAGATAAAAATGCTTTATTCCGAAATGAGTTGCTACTGCTCGCTTTCAAATCGTAGAGTTGTTAAATAAAAAATTCTTAAGTTTTAGTAGCAAAACCTCTTTATGTAAAGAATTCCTGTTTGAGTTATTGATTTCTGATTAATTATGATAATTTTTTTTCCACATTTAATCGACTATAGGTGAAATAGTGGATGGAACTTGAGCTTTTATAACCATTTGGTTAGAAAGACGAGAATCATTGAAAACTGAGTGCCATTGTTGCTGATATAACGAGAGAGAATTAGTTTATCTTCTATCGAAATTTTTTATGTGGGTTCCATATCAAACTGAATGTATGACTATGAATCATATATTTTGCATTATTATTACAGAAGTATTATAGCGGTATTGTTCTCTCTTTAGATACACCACTCTCACTCTAACTTAACTGGTATCGAGTACTTCCGCTAGTTACAAATAAAATGAAGATAAAGGTGCGAAACTCCATCTAGCGTCATGTCTTTAGACATTTCATTTTTTATTATTAGCCCACCTGGGCTATTAACATAAACGGCATTTTGCGTTGAATCGCTCTAAAAGTCTGAATCACATTTCAAAATGTTGCCACCAAATATTATCAGCCTGTATTATATTTAAGGAAATTATATAATTAAGAATTTGCGTGTATGTATGTATGTTTCTCGCATTGTGAAAAAACGACTAAAGCCACCAAATTTTGAATTACGTAATCCTCAACCTGAGGATGGGCAACTAGAAACTCGAATTTGTTTTATTATCTATTTCATACTCTGTAAAACATTAATGAAAGTTTGATTAACAAACTCAACGATTTCAAAGCGAGCAATGGCACCAACGTACACACACACGCACAAAAAAAAAAAAAAAAAAAAAAAAAAAAAAATGTTGTCTCCAGCGCGCGAGACTGTATCGGAAGTTCTAAAGATATGCTGTTTCTAAATATCTTGTGATATTATTATTGAATTGAATTTTATGTGTTTAAGTGTGAAGAATTTGGTATTTTATAAATAAAGGTAACACACAAAACGTTAAAAAACAAAATCTGAAAGCTTTCAGATTCTTTTTGTGCTTTTTATGTGTGAATTTTATGTGTTTTATGTGTGAATTTTATGAATTTTGTGTGAATTTTATGTGTTTAAGTGTGAAGAATTTGGTATTTTATAAATAAAGGTAACACACAAAACGTTAAAAAACAAAATCTGAAAGCTTTCAGATTCTTTTTGTGCTTGTAAATGTTAATTCTTATTTATTAAGAATAATTTTTTTTTTGTTTGCGAGATTCAAACTCAATATGTTTTAGAATTAAAGAAATGAGGCTATTTTTATATAAACTCCTTTTCTCCTAATCCTGAAACACAGAGATGAAAGGTTTAACTCTCTTAATCTCTTAAAGGAACATAATTTAGATTATGGCAAAACACTGCAGGATTTACTTCTCTAAGAAGAGCTTCGCTTTCATGGAGAACCTTCTAACAGCAACTTGCTCGCATCCATGTTACACATGGAAAAAACAAAGAAAATTCCCACGCAGCTAGCCCATTCCATTCGTCCATACTTTAATTCTGATCTAACTGTCAGTATCAAAAATTTTACAGCTTCGCCGCTGATGAACCATTACACAGGGAGTAAACCACTGAAGCGCCCATGCAGCCACTCCATTCGTCTACACTCGGCTATTGATAGGCGTCTCTTCCAGTTATACTAACAAATAACACATCGTTCAATAAGTATCGGGACTAACTAAGAAACCTACATCCATTTCACAAAATTCACGTTTATTCATCAACATAATCACCATTAAGCGCTATGCAATCATTCCAACGCTTTTCTAACTTTTCAATACCATGCTTGTTTAGTCTTTTATCGCATATATTTATAGGTTTTCTGAGCTTCTCGGTTTAGTGTCATAAAGCCTGCGCACTCTAGCTGCGCCCGGAAGGTTTGAAACGTCCACTCGATGTGCGCTGTGCCGACGTTACGGCGTTTCGGAACTCGATCTGTTTATTTACGATTGTGCGATAAGATATTCTCATCTATAGTACTTCACCCCTTTCCCCAGTGGACAAGGTTCGGCTTGCGTTCTTAGCCAAATTATACCTTAGTTTAGTAAGTGTCAGGTAGCATGGCATTCGTTGGGGAACAAAAAACAAAACAAAACAAACAAAATATAGATTTAGAAAAACTGAAGCTAAAGCTTAACGTAACCGGAGCCGTCTCGAGCTGCAGGTTCGTCCGAGCGAAAAAGGCCTCGAGTGTAAAGAGTTAATATTAAAAGATCCTAATGATCATTCTAACATGAACGGTTAAGAAGGTTATCTGCCTAAGAAGGTTATTTGAATATGAAGGTTATCTGCCTAAGAAGAGGGATGCCTTCGAGGAAGACTTTCTGGCTTATATTCACCGTGCACACAGGAAAAACCACGACAATCAACCATGCAGCCAGGCCGTACGCCTGATATCGAATCCAAACCAGGTCAAACTACCAATTCGGCGGTTTTAACCGTTCGACCTCTGGTGGAGTCCTAACACAGACGGATATCCAAAAGGAAAAAATTAAATTCCATCGTACATACAAAATCCACATACGAAACATTATATGTGGATATTACTGTGAATGTCATGTATATAAGCCCATATTTTAATATCGGATTTCCGGTTTGGGCACTAAAGCAAGTTTTGCAATGTACTCTTTCAAATAAAAGAGGAGAAAAAGTGGATTTGTTCTAACATTATTTTCCACGTACTGTCAATAACGAAATTTCTCTAACAGAGAGATTATATATACATTACAAGAATTCGTCAAATAAGGCGAAAAACATAGGATACATGACAATGATACGATTACATAACTTACCATTCAAGGCACTGAATGCTATCATAATGTTGTAACCGGTTACTATGCAGTCTGGACTAGAGTCTCCGCCGTTTCTGCTTGTTTTGTCATAATTGCAAAACACTTGACGAGGAATGAATTCTAGACTCCTGTTCCAACTTATTTCTCCATTTGACATCGTTATTTCGATTATGTTGCCACCAGTGTCGTCAGCAAAGCCGAAGATAACCATTGATGGGACATTAGCTTCTCGTATTATTTTCAAATCTGTGGTCAGTACTATTAAAGAAAACTGGAAAATCAAGAGAAAGAATAACGTGTATTCTACGAATTGATTACAGTACATGCAATTTACGAAACATTTTACTTCGTTGGATATAAATTTCAAATACCAAGATTAATTATTTTCCTAAATTACAGAATTTCACTCCTCTCACATGTTTCTATGATTAGCTGTTTTTTATTTTTTTTTAATTCGGAAATTTTTTGTTTGCGTAATTTGCGGCTTTCTATCTTTAAGTTCAGAAAATGAACTCTTCCTTATACCCATTTAAAATTTCTTTTATAGGCTCTTAGTCAGTCATAAGAAACTCCAGATTTAAATTACGTAGCCGTAGAAGATATCTTATACTGTTACTCGACATGTGGGTAGCTGCATACAGTAGAAGCAAAATGAACTGAAGAGGAAAAATATAACTCGTTTTAAGTACCCATTACGCCATACAGGTACAAGTGCAAATGGGAGGATCACCAGAACTTTATCATTGGTCATGCAGCTACGCATCGCACTAACTGCGCAGTACCGCACACTCTGGGAGTAGATCTGTGACTCTCCTTTACTTTTCATACCATCCTTCCTACCATCAGGACTTTCTGCTCACCAGTATTTTAAGTACCCCCACGCCGCAGAAACACTATACACTTACAAACATCTGTGTTTTCTCCGGTATTCGAACCTGGGCTTAATCGGACCCAGCATCGCTGGGCGGCATAATACGTAATACAGTAATATGAATATTAATATATATATACATATATATGTATATATAAGATTAAAAAGTGTGTAAAAGATAAATTATATTTTAAATTAGTAACAGCCTCTTAATACTTAAATTAATTTCCCTCTCTATTCTGGACTCTTAAAGTCATTTCTTCATGTCTTCATCAGCATCTCAGGTCCATTTCATCAATTTACTTGATACATTGTGTTTTGCATCTTGCATCATTATTCACCATTTGTCTGGCGCATAATAACCCTCGAGGTTAAAAATCAACCAACCAACCATTCCCTCTCTATTCTAAAGCTACTGCGTCATTCCGAGACTAATCCATGTCATAAGACTCTTACATAACACTGATAATGTAAATGGAACTAAACCTCAAACAGCCAATAATAATTTTACAGTAGTGTTAATTATCTAATCAAAATAAATCCGTTGAGAAACAAAACTAACTCAGTCTGAAACGAGACTTCATCTTGAACTTAACGCACTAGCTTTCTACCCTTTGGCCTAGCTGGACTGATACCTGCTGCTCTCTTCTTACTGCAAAGCTATCAAACATGCAAGTATTTTGAAATAGGCACAAGTAGCGTGCCAAGTTTTACGTGGCTGTAACTTGTTTACTGAAATAAAAATGAGGATTTAATCTCCCTCCAGCCGCCAATTTCCTCTTCATTATGGATCACCATTCCACGCAATCAAAATTCTTGCTCTTCACTGTGGATCGTTTCTACGCCATCAATATTTCTACCTATCTATGCAATCAATTTTTCTACAACATCATCGCTAAGTCTTTTTTATTACATATATATTCCTTTAATCTGTAAGTTAGTAAGAGCTAAAATCGCACTGTTACCTGTAAGGTGCTCAAGGCTGTTGCCAACGGCAGGCGCATGTTGCGCTGCTTGCCACGAGGAATTTCGCGGGCTTGGGCTGATGTTTCTGTCAGACAAGTGAACATAAGTAACAACACATAAATATTGCACATAACGGAGTATATTAACTAAACAGACTAGATTTACTAGATTATGGTAGAGCACATTATCCTTAAAGGAAGGGATGGAGAACTTCCCATGCAAAACTGGCTGGTATTCAGGTTAAGCATGGAACACAGCCGTGCAGCCAGCCCGTTCACCATGCCAAATTACCAGAGTCCTCGTTCTTATATTCATTCGGCCACTGGCAGTGAATATTGTCGCCTTGTACGCAGACGTTTATTTTAAGTGAAAGATAAGTTCAAAACGAAATCTATTTTCATTTTCTGGAGAAATATTTAATTTTAGTTATTCTTAAGCATATTTTTTAAATTGCCTCGTGATCAACTAATAGTTTCTCAGTCTTAAGAATAGCTTACGAATATTACTTAACACTATAACTGGATGTCATTGGTTAGGTAATATTAAAGCATTTTGATTATAGCGGGGCTATTTGTCTAAAGCAAGGTATGCCTTAGTAGAGGACGTTCTTGGGGAACTTGCATGATATTCACGTTATGTATAAGAAAATAACCAATGCAGCACAGAATTTCGCTCTCAGCACTGCAACTGCTTATTACATTTAAAAAAACTAACAGAATTAATTTTTTTCGTAATTGAGTGATACTTACAAGCGTTTGTCAAATTCAGTTCCCAGTCTTTCTGTGCAGAGAAGCATATCGATTCTCTGCATGGTAAAATCCAAGCCAAAACTACCACATATAGAACTCCAACGTTGAGAGACAGGAAAAAACAAATTTTTCTCAAAATGCTCATTTGGTTGGAATTCTCAGACTCCTTTTCACAGTTTGCACCATCCGGAAAATTTTCGTAGGAATTCGCAGTACCGTCTGGCAATTTATTCATCTTCAGATCTTTTGCAATGGTTCCGTTATCTGTAACCGTGTTCGTCTTTCGTGTCAGAGGAGTTTTTTCGTCCACAGCCGAACTTCTCCGAAAGAATTTCGCGACTCGCTTTAATTCCAAGCGATGCATGACTGAAAAAAAAGAGAAAAAAGGTCTGACGTTATTATTATTTCGATCACTAGATAATTTTTCTTTTTCCAAGTAAATTCATTACGAAGTTCTAGCGAAATATATTTAAAAATAGGGTAGAAAGTGATAGCTAAACTGAAAAATATTTTGAAAAGAAGTTTTTTGTTTTTTGTTTTTCAATATGATAAATTAATACTCTGAAGTGTGAATTCAAATGGAAATGACATATAAGCTTTACAGTTTTCTCAATAAAAGTGATGTCAAATCTAAGTATTAAAGAAAATGGGGCAAAAAATGAATGTTTTTAACGAAAACCTAAAACTTTTAAAATTTTCCTCGTAATGAAAAATGGTTAAGGAAATTATTTAAGAAATTTTCCTGCGAACATTCCTTAAAGAAATTTACTTAAAAAATCAGGTAAACATGACTAAATTATTTATGGAATGGGCTAAAATAGTGTTTCATTCCATAATCAATTGATCATTGAATGAAACACTATTTGATGATCAATTGATCATTGCAGCTCATTTAATTGAATTGAATCTCATTCACTGATTCTCAGTCAATTGATTCATCAAAAGAGATCATCAGTTTTTCTTGTAATTATTAAAATTCTTTAAATAACTGGTAGGTAATGAGTACATTTGGTAATTACTAAATCATTTTAATTACAGAAACATAAAAACTAACGCTTTAAAAGGATGCATAATGAGTATATCGTAGCTGTTAATTCAAAATTCTACAATATTTAAAATTAATATTTCATTGCAAGAATTTGTGTAATCGAGCATAATTTAATAATTCGAAAACAAAAATCGCTGCAATACAAGTCATTTGCTTGAAAATTATATTCTATTGTACTAGTTAGGTGGTAACGATTTAATGGATTTTTCTAAACCATTGTGACTTTTGAGATTTTTCTTTATTTAGGAAACCAATAAGTTGTATATTTATAAACATATACTGTATAGTCGCTTAGAATGTTTCTCGATGTCAAGAAACTGAAGAAATCTGTAATGACCTAGCTGGGATTCAAATTTCGGACCTTCCGAATACGTGTCGAGCATTCTTCCAGTTCCACGGAAGCTTGTGGAAAAAAGGGAGACAATATCTTATAATTTTACTTACCTTATATGTTACTATTAAAATGAATAGGGCTGAATAGCAAGATGAAACAACGTATAAATGTAGAAGACGTATAAACGGGAAACGTATAAACGGTGCTCCATTGTATTTTGTGATTTTGCTGTTGAATTGAATTTAATGTAGTGTAAGAGCGAAGGACATGATATTTAACAAATAAAGTTAACACACAAAATGTTAATAATAATCCCCCCCAAAAAAACAAAAGGTTTTGTAAGTCATCCAAGGAAAAAACTAAAACGTTAAAAATGCGTGCCAGTACTTAATATTGCATCGAGAATTCTTAAACATATGCCGCTTATAAAACTTTTATAATTTTGCTGTTGAATTGAATATGGCGTAAGGGCGAAGAAAATGATGCTTAATAACAAAGCTAAAAACGAAAAGAAATAGGTTAGCAGAAATGAGTGGTGGACTACGAACTCAGCGTGAGCGTAAATAGTCTTAACAAATCCTTTGAGACTACCGTTAGATCTGAACGTTGTCAGACTTTCTTTTTAGTTTGCTAACTCCCCCCCCTTCTTTAAAAAATATGTTACTGAATGGAAAATAATCGATCAGTTGATTACTTACAGTAATGGAAGAAGAAATATCTGTGGTGCCATGGGTTAGGGCTATTTGATTATGGCAAAGCACTTGAGGTCTAACATCCAAACAGAAGGGATGCCATTGAGGAGAACTTTCTAAGGAAACCTGCCTCGTATACACGTTACTCATAGGGAAATTTTGCGCCATGGATTGGCACGTTATTAAATACATAACTTCTTTAATGCATCTTTCAAACTAGGTGTAGCAAAAATACTTTCAAATTTCGCATCGATGCTGCGATTTTTAATAAAACTGTTAAACTACGGCTTCATTGTCATTTATGACGATTACATTTGTATTTATTTATCTTACTTATGCACTTCTCTTTGAATGAAAATAATAAATTAAATAATAGTTGCCGTAATAAAGCCACTGTACGGAGCCTAGAATAAGAAGTCCCTCTGATGTTCAAAATTCAAATCAATCTACGACATAATTCAATTGTAAAAAACATTCAAAGAAAAATTCGATGAAAACGTTTTCGTGCATAATTTATGATAATATATTCTTCCATTGTTACTAATAATGCCAAAGTGTTCAGTTTCATTTGCTCGCTCTTTAGTCGTCTCAAACATGTAATTACCCTCATTAATTGCTGAAATGTTTCGCTCTTCTAAAAAATATTAACCATATTTGCTTAGATTTAATTTAAATAATTGTTTTAAACAGAATAAACCAACGCAGTTTAAACTGTAGTCTTGTGGTTTGTTTCGGTTCGTTAGACTTCCTTTTTCGTGAACTACATTTGGCATTCTTCCATGAATTTTTAACCGAAATGAATTACTTAGAATTCCATTTGTGAAAACAGAGAGTAACGCTTTAACTCATTTCTATTATTTAAGCTTAGATGACTAAAAGCAAAAAGAACAAGCATTAAAAAAAGAATCCTGTAAAAATGACGACGAAGTTTTCAATTTTAATGTTGGCAAACGTAAAAAGATAAAAATATTTAGTTTTAAGATAATTCTTTTTATCGTAATGACCTTTTTATCTTGCAGCCAATTATTAACCCTTAGCGCTCCGTTGGCTTCGCTACGGAGCCGTCCCTCATTTGTTCGGTAACTCCGTAGGCTCCGCTGAGGAGCCCAATGTTTTTAGCATGATTAGGCTTGAGATGTTACGGAATCGTCGGTGTTGGCAATTGTTATCTGTAGTTAAAACGTGCACAATCTCGCTACAGTTACGATTGAAACATTATTTGACCCATTTTATGGTTAGCAACATGGAAAAAAATAATTATTGTGCTGAGAATATAGAGTTGAGTGATAGTGAAGATGTGTTTGATTTTTCATTGTTAGAAGATATTGTGGAAACAATGTTGATTACAATTCTGACACTTCAAGTAGTGATTCCGAAATTATACTACCAAAGAAACGACGAATGGTAGTTATTGAAAGTGAAAGCGAAGAGTCGCCGGAAGACTTAGATGAATGGCGAGATGACACGGAAGAATTAGATATTCCGGATAGAACACATTTTAGTGTATTGCCAAAGATCATTGGACCACAAATTCCTACAAATATTGTACAGCCGACACAATATTTCAAATTATTTTTCACAAACGAACTGGTAAATGAAATTATAAACAATTACGCAGAAAATGTTCTAAAGAATAAAGAAATATCTAGTAATTCTATTTGGAAAACGTGGCGTGCGGTGGAAGAGGATGAGTTTTGGCTTTTATTGGAGTTATTATCAATATGGGTACGATCCCCCTGGCGAATATGCAGGATTATTGGTCAATTAAGGAGAATAGTCACATCCCTTTCTTGGGTAAATCATTTACAAGAAAGAGATTCATGAAGATATTCTGGATGCTGCATTTAAAAAAACCGGATCCTGCGAAATGTGCCGGAGTTGCTGGTAGGCAGTGGTACAAAAACGTGCGGAGAGCTATGGGTTAAATATCATAAAAGTTGAATAATTCTGAAGAGATTTTTCATTTAATATTCAAATATACATACATATATTAACTTACTACAAAATGTCAGGAAAAACTACTAAATGCCAGAATTAATGCTATCTTGAAAACGGCAGTAGACGCTTAGAGCTCTTCCACTTAGGTAAGTAGGAAAGAGTCTTTAGAAACATTTTCTTTGTAGAATAAATTCACCTTTAATCCAATTTAGTCTTTGCTCGTGTGAAGAGGGCTATTTAAAGTTGTTACGTGAAGTTCTCTTTAATCCGCTAAAAGGATAATGGGTAACAATGTTATTGTTATGACTGTGTAGTCAACTAGGGATTTACTTAGTCGACGTTATCATTTGTGTATTTGACTAACAGAACATAGTGATTCCATAAACTACACATAAAAAAAGTCATTTACACATACTTCAAGTTTTAAGTTAACGAATACGAATATTTTCATTTACTAAAGCGTTCATATCAGGTAGCTAAGCGTTCGAAATATGGTGAATCTGACATTTCCATTTTCGGAAAATGAGAAAAGTTTATTTCGAATTTGCTTTGCGTTTCAATATTATAATAAACATTTAGCTAAACAAGTAGACAAATGGTTAAGGCCGCTAAACACTTACAAGTTGAATTGTATTAGATTATTTGTAATATAGAAAAGCATTAGAGGACTATCTGCCTAAGGGAAAGGATGCCTTCGTGGAGTCCTTTTTTCATATTATACATGAGGAAATCCATGAAACCTCCCAAGCGGATACTCTTTCATGCGGATTTATTTGAATCTGGGTTGAGCTATCAGTGTTTAGCGATCTTACAGCTGAGCCACTGTTACAGCCACTTACAGTAGCAATTCGACCCAAGTTAAAACTCAGGTTAATGAGCTGATTAAATAGTTGTTTTTATGTTTTCCCTATTTAATGTGTGTACGAGCAAATTTCCTTTGGTAAGTCCGCGTCGAATTCATCCCTACCTTTAGGCCCCAGAGCGGTTAAAGTCGCTGAAAACTGGTAGTTCGGTCCGAGGATCGAATTCCGCGAACGGGCTGGTTGCATGGGCATTTTTGTGTTTTACCACCCCATGAGGTAACGTGCATACGAGCTAGTTTCTCTTGCAAAGTCCTTCACGAAGGCATCTCCCTTAGGCAGATAGCCCTAGAGTGCTTTACTGTAATCAAATAAACCAAACCATCATCCTTACCTTTAGCATACAGCCCTTAAGTGCTCTGCCATTTATTAAATAAAACAAAATAATTTACTAAAAAATATAAGTCTAGTAACACATCCTCATTATCAGTATAAGTGCTGAGAACATAAAAGTTTTAGGAAAAGATCTCGTGATTTTTAATAAAGTGAATTAT